GTTTTTACAATTAAATAGTAGGTCCATCCCAAACTGATACTTTGGCTTGGGATGTAAGCTGGTGGAGTCTGCCATTGGTTTCCTGAGGGGTTGATTTACTAAAGATAAATTGGCTGTTCAATTCATAAAAAAATATTTCCTTTAGCTTAGTGAATGGGGTGAAAATTCACTTTACAAAGAATACCTGAACACATGCAAGGAATATTTGAAAAAAATGTTTTTGCTTGCACATCATTGAATGATGGATTCAACAGAGCTTCGCCTCATTCAGTAAGCTAAGAGAAAAATCCCTTGAAAAGTGAACAATCTATTTGCCTTTAGTGAATCAAGATCTTTGTCTCTTTAGGACTGGTCAGGCATATCTATGTGCTATTGTTCCCAGATCTGTGTCTGCCACAGTCTGTTGCATTCCTTCTAATGTAAAATGAGGGAAAACATCCATAAATACCAAACTCCAGCCAAAACTATTTGAGCAGGAAAGGGTTTGAATCGCTGTCTACTCTTTATTTCTATCATTCCTTGTTGGAGGTTCTCTTCATTCCCTATTTGATGAATGTTAGAATAAAAAGAGAGGTGACAGAGACAAAATACATTTTCAAGCAGAACGTGGAAGGGTTAGAACAGCTTTCGGAAATGTATCACTGTCTGTGTCACCTGCCATTTTCAACAGAACGGGTTAGAGAAATCTAGGACAACATTTCTTAACTTTTTTACGCTAAAAACTAAAAGTGTTGTGGTTGGGGCTGAGCTTTAAGAAGATTATAACCTCCTTATTAAAGCTGTGTGAGGTGGCTCACACTGGGAACTCAGGTGCAGGGATTCAGGTTCTGACATCCACAAGAAGTTTAAAGCTGAACTCCAGGAAAACAGCTAAACTCAAACCTCAAATACACATAGGAGACTTTTTTTTTATTTGTCCAGACTTCGCAATGGCTTTATTAATATTAAAAGAGCAGGTGTATACTCACAAACAACATCAGTAATAAGGCACATCAAACTCCACAATGAACATAAATCCCATGGGAGTTGTCTAGGAGATCAGAGGGTTTCATGCTCATTGTGGAGTTTGATGTGACTCATTACTGATGTTGTTTGTGAGTATACACCTGCTCTTTTAATATTAATAAAGCCATAATAAAGGTAATGTGCTAAGCTGGTACGACCTCTGTTTTTTTGTTTTTGCAATATTCCTTCTGCGTTTTCATGGCCCGTTTGGGGGCAGCAAAGCCGGTGCCAATATGGGATCAGTTGAGGATTTTAGACTGACTGTTTGCCAGTGCACTTCTCTTGAGGGCAGGGGATTCATTTCTTATGTGGAGGTGACTTATGAGAATCTGGAAGCCCCCTAGAATAATGGAGCTCCAGATATCCAGTCCTCTGCATGGGTGAGTACAGGGTACATAATATTCCATGTTAATCATTACCAAAAAAAAAAAGCAAATTGTACCACCACACAGAAAAATTAAAAAAAAATAAACAGAATTTTCAACTTACAAGTAAAATCCATTTCTTTGAGTACAGGACATTTCAGGTAAAATGGAAAGCTGCAGAGACATCCTCCATAGAACCCAGATGGACTTGGGTTTGTAACAAGAAATAGGGAAATCATAAATGTCAGAGAGAAGAGACCCATGTCCTATACTGTACTCCAAGCAACAGATTTTACTGTTGAGTAAAAAAAAAAAAACTCCAATTTTCTTAGTTGTACAGTACAGGACACAAAATCTTTCATTTTTACTCGTGGAACGTCCACAAGCAGTCCAACTGCGGGGTAAGCCACACAAAAAAAAAAACCAACAGGTAACACGTAACAACTGACTCGATCTCAGAGAGCAGCCTAAAGAACCTCACATTTGAAATTGGCATTGGAGGATGCCTGAACAGCCACCTGGTAGAAATTAAACTTGTGAACAGAAGACCAAGTAGCAGCTTTGCAAATCTGAGAAACAGATGTTTGATACTGAAAAGACTATGACGCACATACAGATCTGGTAGCGTGTGCCTTAACAGGGAAGGAAACAACCCTATCCTTTCAGCCATAAGCTCAAAGAATGCCTTGTCTAATCCACCTAGCAATAGTGGAGTGAGAAGTAACAAGCTCCCTCCCAGCACAAATCGCAAAGAAGGAATTAGCTAAAAAAAGGCAGTAGTCGGGAAGATAGACTCTCACAGTGAATACCACGTCAAGACAGTGGGAATACATTTCTTTGGTATGCTGTGGAACAGGACATAAGTGGGGAAGAACAATGTCCTGGTTGAGGTGGAAAGAGGAATTTGACTTAAGGTAGACAAAAGGCTTTAGGCAGTTGAGCTGCTGAGTAATTTTTGAGTAATGGGCTTGTAGCCAGACTTGACTGTCTTGGACAACCATGTCTTTAGACGAAAGTGCTTTCCAGACATGAACACCTAAGGGGAATGAAAAACGTTTTACAGACTCAGGAGTAGAAAATCTACATACAGAAACACAAAGCTTCTTTTTCTGAGGGAAGGGTGTGTTTACCCTCTGCGATCTTCTTGATGTACTTAAGGATGTTCCTAAGGAGACCAAACAGGTGTTCTCCCTCAAAGTGGAAATGCCTAAGGCATTTAAAACCCTGCACAGATGTCCCCACATTTCTGACAGGAAGCAGGAGATGAGACCCCCATCCTGGGTTCCCCCTCCACAGTGAGCATACACTCAAAGGGGTCTTGAGAGACGGCTTTGGCACTGATAGAGCATGGCTCTGGACCCGTAATGCACCCTGTAGCTAACTCACTGCAATGCAGCACGTGCCAAAGTGAGCACCCATGCAGTCAGTGCCCAAAGCCACATTACAGGCTGGCTCTACATCTTTATCCAAGCAGGATCTGGGTACACTTCCCCAAAGCTCAGTTGAGGAGTTAACTGATCCAGAAGCTACTGAAGAAACTGCAGTGGCTATTGTGCAACCAGAAATTTTGATAGGAGAATCATCTTGCAGAAAAAAAAAATCTATAGGTAGAAGTAAACTATTCTTGGTAGATAGAAGAAATACATAACCTAAGGACTTTATAAAAAAACCGAGGCTAGCTGGGTGCGGTTATACAGGGGATGACCCTGCAGCTTTTTCTTTTGCCAGTGTCCAGTCACCTGATTGTAGCAGTATACAACCCATGGTTCAGACTAGTCCTGTACTATATGATTAAGACATAAAAATAAACAATTCTCCCCCCATGTAAAGCCATCAAATATCAATAAGTGATTCCCTGCAGTATAGACCTGGTACCACTTTGATGCTACCCTGTCATTACTCCTATCACAAATGCTGGATCATAAATACAGCGCTGAGGAGTGATTTTGACCCAAGGAACTTATTGTCACAAGTTAGCTTGCAGCCTCTTGTGTGTTTATTCTTACCTCCTTGCTGCTTTTGATTCCTTCACATGTGTTTGTCTGTGCTCACCTGTGGGCGTCATCTGCTATTCCCTGGGTTATATGTCCTTCCCTTTCATCACTTCCTGGGCCTCCTCCTAGCTGGCTTGTCTATTTAAGACATGCTCAGTCTGTCCCACTTTGCCTGAGCAACTTCGTGTTGTTAGAGTTCCCTTGTGAATCCTGTGTTGTCTATCTGTGGACCAACCACGGCTTCGTTGTGACCTTGTTTGTTTTCCACCTGTCCTGACCTCGGCTTGCCCATTGGATTCCCTGTGTCTTCTCCCGTTGTACCCTATTCCTGCTAGTGGTCTCCTCCACCTCAGCTGGGTGTACCTGGGGGCCGCGACCTGGTCCCAGCCTGCTGCAAGTCCATACTCACATCAGGGGCCCTGGTGAACAAGCAGGCCGGGGCTTAGACTCCACACCCTGGGGAACCCCAAGCTGTGGACCTATAGTGCTCACTACCATATGCATTGACAGTTTGCTCAGGCCATGAGCTCTTCGGAGACACCGCAGCTTGTCCAGGAACAACTTCAGGCTTTGGAGCTGAGAGTCGAGGTCCAGCAGGCTTTCCAAGAACAAATCATGCACTGTCTGCAGGAACTCTCCTCCCGGTTGGATCAGCTACAGGTTGTGTCCACTTCCTCACCCTCTGTTTTCGGCCCCGGCTGCTCCACCTTCCGCTGTTTCCCCAGTGGAACACTGTCCTTCGAGACTCTAGCTGCCTCCACCGCCTCACTTCTCTGGTGATCCCAAGGCTTGTCGGGGCTTCATCAATCAGTGCTCATTTCACTTTGAGCTAGCAGCCCACCATTTTTCTAATGATCGTTCCAAGGTGGCGTATATGATTTCCCGCCTATCTGGTGAAGCACTGGCTTGGGCCTCGCCACTGTGGGAGCAACAAGATCTAATTATTTGCAGCCTCCCAGCCTTCCTGCAAGCTTTCCGTAAGACATTCGATGTGCCCAGCAGGACTTCATCTGCCGCAGGAGCTCTTCTTCGGCTTTGTCAGGGTAGCAGGACTGTTAGACAATATGCAGTTCTGTTTCGCACCTTAACCTCGGAACTGGCATGGAATAATGAGGCCCTCTCTGCAACCTTTTGGCAGGGTCTAGCAGACTGTATTAAGGATGAACTAGCTGGAAGAACCATACCCACCTCCCTGGATGACTTGATTGCTCTTAGCATCCAGATCGATATCCGCTTCCAGGAGCAAGATCTGGAAAGGGCTCATCCACGTTGCCCTCCAAAGGGTTCTTTTGCTCCTGTTTTCCAGAAAGTCCCTGATCAACTTACCTCTGCAACCGTACCGACATCTGAAGAGCCCATGCAGTTAGGCCGAACTCACCTTACTCCACAAGAGCGATCGCGGGCGCCTAAGATTTGGTCTATGCCTTTACTGTAGGGCTGAGGGTCATCTAATTAAGTCTTGTTCTGTTCGCCCACCTCGCAGTGTACCGTGGCTGAGACCACCACCTCTCTGATGCTCCCTCAACATTGCCAGACCTTACAAGATGTTTCTTGTAGTAAGGCTGCTCCCCTGCCTACTCCTATTGCGGGCCCCCTTCCGGTGCTGTCCACCTTTAGTTCCTTACCCTCTTTGCTACCAAAAACCTTCGGTCCCTTTACATATGTTGCAGCTCAGAGCTCCTATGTCGCTACCTTCTGGGTGGGTGGAGGTCCCAACACCTGTGACCTCTGTACCATTTGAGTTTCCAGATTCATGTGCCCTGCATGCTGAGACCCTAAAACTCCCTTCAGCTGCTTTGGACCCAGCTGTGGTTTCCACATTAGTAGCTACTGTACCCTCTGTCCCCTGTCCTGCCCCCCTATATCCTACAGTGCCTTCTGTCCCTTGTCCTGCCCCCATACACCCTACTGTGCCCTCCCTGGCAGCCTCCTCACCAGACCCTTCATCCTGGTTATTGGTGTCTGCTTCAGCCCAGTTTCCTGTCGTATGTTCTCCTATTCTTACTCCTTCTGAGGCAAATGTTTCCAGAGCTTACATCTGTCAGCTTCTAAATACAAAGTAGCTGCAGATTGTCATCACCGAATGAGTCCCAAATATTTCCCGGGTGACAAGGTTTGGATCTCTACCAAGAGTATCCGTCTACGGGTACCCTTTATGAAATTTGCTCCTCGGTTCATTGGTACCCTTACCATCCTTTGCCAGGTCAATCCTGTTGCTTTCAAACTCTGCCTTCCTTCACATCTGAGAATCCCTAATGTTTTCCATGTTTCTCTTCTGAGACCGTATATCATCAACAGATTTTCCCGTCCTCATCATCATTCTTCCCCAATAGCGAGTACTTTGGATCAGTATGAAGTCAAGCAAATCTTGGATTCTAAATTCATCAGAAGGAAGCTTTTGTATCTAATTGACTGGAAGGGATATGGTCCTGAGGAGAGGTGTTGGATTCCTTCTACTGATGTTTCTGCACCCCGACTGGTGGAATTTTTTCATCAGAAGTTTCCCCTTAAGCCTGGCCCTAAAAAAGTGGGGAGACCTTGTAAGAGGGGGGGTACTGTCACAAGTTAGCTTGTAGCCTCTTGTGTGTTTATTCTTACCTCCTTGCTGCTCTTGATTCCTTCACATGTGTGTTTGTCTGTGCTCACCTGTGGTCGTTGTCTGCTATTCCCTGGGTTTTATGTCCTTCCCTTTCATCACTTCCTGGGCCTCCTCCTAGCTGGCTTGTCTATTTAGGACATGCTCAGTCTGTCCCACTTTGCCTGAGCAATTTCGTGTTGTTGGAGCTCCCTTGTGTTTCCACTGTGAATCCTGTGTTATCTATCTGTGGACCAACCACGGCTTTGTTCGTGACCTTGCTTGTTTTCCGCCTGTCCTGACCTTGGCTTGCCCATTGGATTCCCTGTGTCTTCTCCTGTTGTACCCTACTCTCACTAGCGGTCTCCTCCACCTCAGCTGGGTGTTCCTGGGGGCCGTGACCTGGTCCCAGCCTGCTGCAAGTCCATCCCCACCATCAGGGGCCCTGGTGAACAAGCAGACCAGGGCTTAGACTCCGCACCCTGGGGAACCCCAAGCTGTGGACCTATAGAGCTCACTACCATAGGCGTTGACACTTATATAGCGCCGTCAATTTACGCAGCGCTTTAAATAACAATTGTGCATTCACATCAGTCCCTAACCCTCAAGGGGCATACAATCTAATGACCATATTTGATTATTAAAATAACCTGGCTTCCCCACTGGCTTGCTTACAATTTTAAACCTAGGTTGGCAGGGATCAGTCATTTAGAGACATTTAGAGTCAATTTAGAGACCTCAGTCATACCACTACTTAATGACATACTTATAACTACATCAGCTCCTCTATCCTTCTAGCTCCTCAAGTCCACCTGCTCCCAAGCTCCCTCATAATCTCCCATGCGCACCTCCAGGACTTCTTCAGAGCCTTTCTTCTGGAACTTCCTACCTCAATCTGTTTGGCTATCTCACACTCTGCCTGCCCTTAGGCAATTTCTAAAAACGTATCTCTATTCTACTCAAGCATATTCCACCTCCACCTAACAGCTGAAATTTTACTTTCTCCATCAACTCATCCTCACACAATTACTGCCTTTTGTGTTGCTTGCCCTTCCTTTTCATATTGTAAGTTAAGATCAAGTCTCTCCTAACCTTGTCTTGAATTGTACTGTAACTGTACTGTCTCCCTTTATATTGTAAAGTCCTGGCACTGCAAACTGTTGGCACTATATATACAGTTAGGTCCATATATATTTGGACACAGGCACAAATTTTCATACTTTTGGCTCTGTATGCCACCAGAATAAATTAAAACAAAACAATCCAAATGAATTTGAAGTGCAGATGTTCAGCTTTAATTCAAGGGGTTGAACATAAATATCAAGTACAAAACTTAGGAACTGCAACCATTTTTATACATAGTCCCTTCATTTTCAGGGGCTCATATGTGATATGTGATATGTGATTGGACAAATGAATAGAATCATAAATAAAATGTTAATTTTTAATATTTTGTTGAGGATCCTTTACTGGCAATGACTACCTGAAGTCTGGAACCCATGGACATTACCAAAGACTGGGCTTCCTCTTTTCTGTTGCTTTGCCAGGCTCTAGCTGCAGCTGTCTTCAGTTGTTCTTGGTTTGTGGGTCTTTCTGCCTTTAGTTTTGCCTTCAGCAAGTGAAATTCATGCTCGATTGGGTTGAGATCAGGTGATTGACTTGGCCATTGCAGAATATTCCACTTCTTTTCCTTCAAAAGCTCCTGGGTTGCTTTTGCAGTGTGTTTTGGATCATTGTCCATCTGTACTGTGAATCACTGTCCAATCAACATTGCTGCAATTGGCTGAATATGGGCTGACAGTATATTTCTAAACACTGCAGAATTCATCCGGCTGCTGCTTCTGTCACATCATTAATAAACACCAATGGCCCAGTGCCACTGGAAGCCATGCAGGCCCATGCCATCACACTGCCTCCACCATGTTTTACAGATGACATTGTGTGCTTTGGATCATGAGCTGTTCCAAGCCTTCTCCGCACTTTTTTCTTCTCATCATTCTGGTACAGATTAATCTTAGTTTCATCTATCCAAAGAATGCTTTTCCAGAACTGGTCTGGCTTTTTTAGATTTTTTTTTGGCAAAGTCTAATCTGGCTTTTCTATTCTTCAGGCTTATGAATGGTTTTCACCTTGTGGTGAACCCTCTGTATTTGCTCTTATGAAGTCTTCTCTTGATTGTAGATTTTGACAATGGTTCGCCCACCTATTGGAGAGTGTCCTTCACTTGTCTGGATGTTGTGAATGGGTTTTTCTTTACCATAGAGAGGATCCTGCGATCATCTACCACTGTTGTCTTCCGTGGACGTCCATGCCTTTTTATGTTGATGAGCTCACCAGTGCGTTCTTCATTCCTGATAATGTACCAAACTGTTGATTTGGCCACTCCTAATGTTTGCTGCTATCTCTCTGATGGATGTTTTGTTTTTGAAGCCTTACAATAGCCTGTTTCACTTGCATGGAGAGCTCCTTTGAAGGCATGATGTAGGTTCACAGGACCTTTTACCTGCTTAATTGATGAAGAAATAACGAAGGAGTAGCCCACACCTGGCCATGAAACAGCTTTTGATTCAATTTTCTGGTCTTTGAAAAAGGGGGGATGGCTACTCATGAGCTGTAAATCCTAAACTCTTCCTCCAATTTGGAAGTACATACCCTCAAATTAAACCTGAGAGTGTGCACTTTCAGCCCATATCCATTATATAACTATAGCTTGAATACCTGAAAAAAACTAAAATTGTGCCTGTGTCCATATATATATCAACCTAACTGTAAATACTATAAGAAAAATAATCCTTACTGTTGTACAGTACAGGGAATTGAGGGTGATACCAAGCTAAATTCAGGCACTGCTCACATAAATTATTACAGAACTACATTAATTTGTGTTTTTCTATTTGCCTGGAGTTCAATTTTAAAAATATACGGTAGATGATGATTCATCAACTTCCCAGCACCCACCTGCACTAAAATATCAGTTATGAGTTTGTTGACCATATAACATATCAGCGTAATCTATTTTACTCTTTGTGTTTTTTCTCTTTAGATTCAGAGCTTCAGGTTCACATAGAAAATGTATACTATTAAGTATTGTAAGAATTAAGGTTTCTTTTCAAGGGCCTTTGTACATTGACTGTGTCATACAGTCTTAAATATATTCTTCAATTTTAAATCCAAAACATTTCACACAACCAAGAATATAGTTGTAGCTGTGCTACAGTTATTCAAAGCTGTGCTCACAATAAGACATCAGATTGAATGCTATTTTCACAAAGAATAGGGTTAAGAAGACTTAGAAAATGTCTTCAAGTCCAAATGCTTTGCTGCCTCCTTCTCAATTTGCATTAATGCACATCTCCTGTAGAGCTGAGAGGTTGACAGGATACATAGTAATGTGAAGAAACCAGACTTATTTAACAAATATTCCCTTTGAAGGTGTAAGGTATGGAGAGCTGCCAAGCTCATTTAGATTTTAATTACACCATTCCCTGGAGGATATTTGTATACAGACAAAGCAACATAACCCTTTTAACTCCATTACAATACTCTTTGTTCCAGGTTGCATGATTAGTGCTGTAATTGCTTCTAGCAGTGTTTCTCTGCTATATTTTTTATGTACAACGTTTAACATCAGATGTTGCCAAGTATCCCGTTTATGTGATAGTTCATGTAAAAGACACTGAAAAGTCTGTATTTGTTGTCAGAAGCCTCGTAATGTGTGTATGTATTTCTAAGAATCCCCTCCTGTCTTTATAAATGATTGACCTCTATATGTTGGGAGTTTATTTTGCATATTTTTTTAATTCCAAGAACTATTCTGCATTGGTTTTGAAAGGTCAAAGTATAAATTCTACAAATTAGAATTACTCAAATAGACACACGTCACAGTTTAAGAAACACACTGCGGTTTACTAAAACCAGAGAGTGAAAAATCTGGTGCAGCTGTGCATAGCAGCCAATCAGCTTCTAACTTCGGCTTGTTCAGCTGAGCTTTGACAATAAAACCTGCAGAGCCGATTGGTTTCTATGCAGAGCTGCTGCAGATTTTGCACTTTCCAGTTTTAGTGAATCAACCCCATTACATACTGTGCAAGCTAAGTAACGCAATAAGATGTTCATTTTAAAGAGCTACTTCAGACAAGTTGAAATCCCACTACTGCGGCATACTTAGGAAGTCCACTCCATTTATTTTCAGTGTAAGTTTTATGTAATCTGGTACTGCCAGATCAGACTTTTTCTTGTAGCTTCTTGCTGTGTGTTCACAGATAACCGGTCACAAAATTATGTGCTATATATGTGTGGGTGAGGCTCCAGTGGACTAACCGAAGGGACAATGTTGAAATGGAAAGAACCATATGGTACTAGTTAGCAACACCAGAAGGTATATAAGTATATAAATCACCTATTTAAAAGCAGTCATGGGCAGGGGCATCTCTAGTAATTTATTCTAAAGGGTAAAGTAGGAGTAGACTAAAATTTTTATGCCTCTGTTATGAACTTTTAATATGGATTTTTCCACAATGCCTATAGCTACATAGGTGAATTGGGGTTGTTTAAGAAGTATTTTTACCACTTGTTCACAATATGTAAATAATTTGGTTTACTTTAAATAATATATATATTACACAAACATGCTCACCTCCCTAACAAAACTCTCCACTTCTCTCGGAGCCCAGAGGTCCTGCTAGAAAGGAAGTGCACGTTAAGGAAGTCTGAAATCACAAACAGGCAAACATCCATTGCAATGTCATTGATGCAGGTCCTTCTTCTGATCAAGATCAGCTTATGGCACACCTCCCAAAGGCTACAGCACTGATTTACTACAGCAGGCAAACAGCTACCTTTGAACTGAGCCCTGGGGCTTTAAACGACCCCCTCCCCTGAATCAACCATAATCATGGTATAGGGAATAAGTAATAGCATTTGCTTTATGCATTTAAATCTGCCAGAATAATTCT